ACGTTATCATGCTTTGGGCATGGGCGCAGTGCCAACCGTATGCTCTTGGAACACGAACGTTATCATGCTTTGGGCATGGGTGCAGTGCCAACCGTATGCTCTCGGAACACGAACGTGGATATGCGTGCACTAGAATACAGTGAGGCTGAGTCGAAAACGTGACGTGGATCTATGCTCAAGTGAAAAAGCATGTGGTAAAAGGTCGCCTGGTGGCTGACTCTAGTTTTCTTGCGTCACTTAGACCCGCCCCCAAGTAGCGCCATAGCGCCTGCTCCGTCGACCTGCATTTGTGGCCCACCAGAGAGCTGCCGCTCGGAGATCATCGAAACGCGAGAAGTTGTGAAGGAGATACCCGGCGTGACCAAGCTTGAGGTAGCGGCTATCGCTGGCGCGACAGGGTGGAGCTCCTTGGGCTTCGTTTGGACCGTCTGGCGCTTCTGCTGCAAGCCCTTGCCAAGTTCGCCTCGACATGGCCGACGGCGAGGGGGAGGTGTATTGGAAGCATCACCCCGGCACTAAGGTGGTCGTCTTCTACACAGATGACGACGTGTGGCATGAGCGCTACATCCTTCTTCCAGGTTCTCGCCCCGAAGTCTATTGGATCGTCACTCCTGATGATGACATCTACGAAGAGGACTTGAGGGGGCGCTCTGAGGACGGACCACATAAGGTCAGGGTGGTGCCACTCGGCGTTCGCACATTGCCTAATCTTCGCACCTCGGTCTACAGGTTCAGGGAGGATGTGTCAGACGACCTTTGGAAGTCCAAGATGAAGATTGCTCTGGAGGAGCATGAGCAGACTTACGGGTCGACCGACAAGTTCGTGGATCTGGAGGCCGTTTTGCCGAGTGGCAAACGGGCTACGATCGGTTCCTTGGCTTCGAGACGCAGATTGGTCGGCAAGGGGCCTGTTACCCGTGCACCCCCCGAGAAGCAGGATGCATGGACAACCCCGCCGGGTAGGTGTTGGAGGGCTGCCGAGCCGCGCGGTCTTACACGAGTTGGAGAGCTGCTGACGCCTACGCCAGGCGTCGATCGGCGTCTCGGTGATGGAGACGCAGCCTTTCTTAGGGACAACTGTTGGATTCGCGGAGAGCTGGTCCGAGATGTCGACTACGACGACTGGTTGGTGGAGCGGACTAAGGAGCTTACCGGCGTAGCTCATGCCCGTAGCGACCCTGCCAGGCTCTTGGGCATCCTCCCGGACGTCGGCAAGGCCATTGCACCGGAAGGGGGCACGATCGACCACAAGGAGAAGGTGACGGACAACGACATCATGGAGGGCAACGGCGATGGAGAGGCCCGGACCTTGTGGGTTGAGTACGACGCACATGGAGAACGACACCGTGAATGGCGGCAGGTCGTCGCAGACTCAGTTACCCATAACTGGAAAGATTGGCCTCATGAGGGGCCGCCGTCACTGCTTTACGCCATGAAGCAGTTCCAGAAGATTGGAGGAGATCCCCGGCTTTGGTTCCAACTATGGCTTCGCCGACACCATCTCTCGGAGACTAGATCGCACGGCCCATGAGGTGAGGTCGTTGGTGGAAGCTATATACCTCGGAGGTTGCTACGATCAATTAAACCTTCCGAGCTTGGCGTCTTTTGAGGCTCTTGGTCGCCGGCTCCAGACAATCACTGAGGCGTATGCGTCTGCCGCGGGTGGACCTCCCGAGTGGCATCATGCACGTCTGTTCACGGGCTCCACTTCAGCCGATGAGATTGTTCCGCAGGAGCTGAGGTCATGGGCCGCGAAACGCGGCAAGGATGAGGTCGAGTTGATCCAGGCCCGATCCAAGGCCAAGGAGGTTCGCCGCCTCCTCAACAATGCTGACACCACCGCCTCCTCAGTCGAGGACGCGCTCCCACCTGGGGGCAAACCAAAAGGGAGAGGGCGCACCAGGAAGAACCTGGAGGCGCCCGAGACATCATGAAGGACATTACTCGGCCATCCTTTCCAGGGACAGGGGGTGGCTTTGACAATGGGTCCCTGCTGGGGGGAATGTTCCCCCTCCCCACTTTGCATGAGGAGGACTCGAGTTTGCGTTTCTCCAGACGGAGCGCTCAACGTCGAGCCCGGAGAATTAACTTTTCTAGGGACGCCAACGAGACCATCAACGCCCTCAATTGGATGGCTGGTGCTTCTCAACATGGCGGCGCTTTTCGACCTTCACTCCGGCAACAAGAGATACTGGATCGTGTGCAGGTCGCGTGCAGGTCGTGTTTGACTCTTCCTGACGGCACGTCCTCCCCAATCACTCAGCCTTTCGAGAGCTGCTCCGCGGCTCCTCTGTTTACGAGGTGGCCGGTACAACCTTGGCATCCTTCAAGCTTGAGCGCGTTAGTCTTCCGGAATCAGTCCACAACTGTCCTCAGGTGGGCGATCTCCTCCCGGACAGCGCCCGTCAATATCTGGAGGTTCCTGAGCGCATGTTGAAACCTGAAGTTACGGAGCTCGACGTGATTTCTCAGGTCACACCTTACATGGATCCACTTTTGCGTACCAGCACTAAACACTACAAGGCCTTGATAACGAAGTTGAATGCCATTGGGTACTTGAACTTCACTTTGAAACCTCGTGCTAGGGCTGGAGTCTTCTTTGTCAAGAAATCGGATGGCATCCGGCAACGCCTGATCATCGATGGGAGGCGGGCCAATGCAATGTTGGCCGAACCACCTTCAGTCCGATTATGCACTGCCGAGGCCTTCTCGAAGTTTGAGTTTCTGGACGGCGACGTCAATTTGTATGAGGCTTTTCCCGGGTGCCAGTCTCAATACTCTCAGCTGTTTGCCGGCCTTTCTGATATCAAGGGCGCCTTCCACCGACTGAAGCAGCCCAGGTGGATGCAAGAGCTGTTCTGCTTGGACCCGGTCCCGGCCAGCTGGGTTGAGCTTGAGGGGAAAACACTGTGCGGCACGGTCCTCAGAGGAGATGAGCTGGTATATCCGATGCCCGCATCGCTCCTCATGGGATGCTCATGGTCTTTGTATTTTGCCCAGGCTGTTTCAGAACATTTGATGAGCCAGGTGCCTTTGCTCAGAGATTCAGAGATACTGCGAGATCGTGGCCCACCGCTCATTGTACAACCCACTCGAGGCACGGACATCGCCAACGACGGTCACACCGAGGAGGCGCGGGTCCACACTGAGGCACCTCGTCACTACGTTTACGTTGACAACCTCGGTGTGCTGAGTACCTCGAAGGAGATCGTTTCTGATGCCTTATCCCAGATCAAGGGCATCTTCGAGGCTCGCGGTCTCAGTCTGCATCCTGGTGAAGTTCAATCAGACACGATAGACGCCCTTGGGTGCAGGCTTTCCGGGACTCGCAGGAATGCTACTCTCAAGCCGACGAGATTTTGGAGGCTACGACAGGGTCTTAGATATTTGCTGGGCATGAAGTACGTCAGTGGGCGAGTTGTCGAAGTCGTTCTCGGTCATTGCACGTACTGCTCCTTGCTGAATCGTTCCCTTATGGCCGTGTTCTGTGACTCTTACAAGTTCGTACGGAGTTGTTATGACAGCCGCGTCCCGTTGTGGATATCGGTTCGCCAAGAGCTTCAGGCATTCCTGGGTTTGCTCCCGTTGTGCACGGCGGATTGGGCCAGAGAGTGGAACGACTTAGTCTCGGCCTCAGACGCTTCGCTCTCCGGCTATGGGGTTTGCACGAGGAAACTTTCAAGAGACATAGTTGGAGGCATCGGACGAGTTCCGGAGCGTGAGCGGTTTCGGCGAGGGCCCGCACTTGGTGCGCGCGCCTCCGCCCTGGTTGATACAGCCCTCGAGGATGCAGATGATGACGATCTTAGCTGTGCCAATCTCATCAAAGCCGGCTGGGAGGTCGACGCGAGCTTCCCCGAGATACCGAGCCGCATCCTCAGGAAAGACCTTTGGGAAGTGAAGTTGCATGGCCATTGGCTTTACCCCGACGGCATTCTTATCCTCGAGGCTCAGGCGCTGTTGAAGTCGCTTACAAGGATTGCCAACACGTTTTGGGGACAAAACATTCGACAGCTTTTATTTGTCGACAACATGGCTATCGCTTTAGCATTCGATCGCAGCCATAGCCGAAACTTCAAGGTTTTACGGATTATTCGAAAGTTTGCAGCGCTGTGTCTGTCGCGGAACATCACATGCAGTGTCCGCTGGATTCCCTCCGAGTACAATGCCGCCGACGAACCCTCCCGAAACGCGGCAGCAGTCCAGAAGAACTCGGACTCTGATACCGCCTGCTCGGGCGGTCCCAAAGCCTACAAAGCAGACCACTCGACTGCTGAAGGCACCCCAGAACGCGCGGTCGTCCAAACCCGCCGCGAAGTCGTCAACACAGCAGCTGGCCCCGAGCAGTTTGCGACAGGTTCTGGTGTCAAGGGGAGTGGTGCAAACCCGGCTCCCTCGGAACGAAAAAGAACTACTCTCGATCCGAGCGCTGGCCGGCCAGACCGAAGACACCTCTTCAAGCGAGACCGAGCCCAGCGCAGACGCAGACAAGGCCAACTCGCGAAGCAGACAGCTGGCTGCCCGACGCAAGAAGCGCCTCAGGAAGTACCTGGACCTGGCGTTCGACAGCGCGCAGCGTCAAACCACTTTGTTAGAGGCTCAGGCCGTGACACCAGGCGTGCAGAAGTACTACGCGAGGGAGGTGGAGGAGTTCGACCGCTTTGTGGAGCGCAAGGGACTCGCTACAACCGACGACACGGACGGGGTGATCACGGATTACCTCAACCACCTCTTCTGGCGAGGGGAACAACCACACCGTGGCGAGAAGTTCCTTGCTGCGTGGATGCACACACATCCACAATTCAGTCGGGTTGGAACAGCCAAGCTCCCACGCAGTTGGCGGGCCCTTCAAGGGCTGGCGCCGGATGTGTCCGGCTCAATCAAGAAAGCCCATGCCGCTCGGCGTGTGGTCGGCCCTGGCGGTGGAGCTCAAGAAGATGAACCAGACTCGTGTGGCGCTTTTCGTCATGCTGGCCGTATCGACGTATGCCAGGCCCTCCGAGCTCCTCAGGTGCACTACCAGATGCCTGGTTCGTCCGAGTGTTGGAGCCCTGAACGAATGGGCTCTGCTGTTGGCAGCGCAGGAGTACGAGACCCCGACGAAGACCGGCGAGTTCGACCACTCGGTGGCTTTGGACTCGCCGTACCTCAAACCGTGGGCCACCGAGTTTTTCGAGGCACTGAAACAACAGCAGCCTACGTCGCTCCTTTGGGACTTCGAGTACCCCGAGTACCTCACAGCTTTCAGGGATGCAAGCCAGCGGCTCAACCTCTCGCTGTCCCCTTACCAGACTCGCCACTCGGGCCCGAGTATCGACCGGGCTCGCAACTTGCGCAGTCTGCACGAAGTGCAGAAGCGAGGCAACTGGAAGGCTCACAAGTCCGTGCTTCGGTACGAGAAGGCGGCCCGGCTTTCCTTGAGCTACCAGAGCTTGCCCCAGAGCCTTCGCGACCACACCGACATATGCGAGAGACAAGTCGGGAATGTGCTCCTCAATCGTCGCCCGCCGCCCGCGGGGCCATGAGGCGCCGACTTCCTGGAGCTTTCTTCTTGGATTTGTTTGCTGGTGAAGGCGGTGTTGCCAACAAATGGCGCAAACTGGGATTCAGGGCTTATGAGTACGACATCATTCACGGCCCTGGTTGCGACCTCACCGCGCCGGCAGTCCAGGCTCGCATTTTGAGTGCCATCCGCACCAAACAAGTTTTGGGCGTCATGATCGCGCCGCCCTGCACATCTTTTTCGGTTGCGCGTGACCGTACAGCAGTCATTCGTAACAAAGCCTTCCCGTGGGGACTGCCTGACAGTTTGCTCACCTCAAAAGATGCTGCACAGGTTGAGATCGGCAACGCTTGTGCTCGCGCTACTTTGAGGTTCCTTCGTGCTTGTGATCGGGCTTCCATTCCATGGGCTGTGGAAAATCCACACTCCTCTAAGCTTTGGCGGTTACCCGAGTTTGAGCAGTTCGCTTCCGCCTCGCACACTCAGGTCAAGATCATCGACTTTTGTGCCTACGGCACACCCTGGCGCAAAAGGACTCGCCTCATGTTCGGCAACGTTGATTCTTGTGACCTTACACGCTTTGACAAGTGCAGGTGTGCTGGAGAGCGTGGTTACTGCTCTTTTCAAGCCGGCAAGCATTTCCAGCTCACCGGCGTGGGGCCCCATCACAGACCTTGGACTTTTATTGCCCAGCCCTACCCGCCCCGTTTGTGCAGGGATATTGCGCATGCGCTCTCCTCTGCTCTGATCATTGCTGGTGCACATCTCCGCTGTTACGGGGGATGATATGGGGAAGGCGATGTCTCAGCACTTCTTCTTCGTTTACATCCTTGACTACAGCTTCTTCGCGGGTCTTTGCAGGGTGTTCTTTTCTTCGTCGCCTTCTCGGGCGCCAAACTTCAGTTTCACAGCAGCCGACCCGCTGAAGGACTTGAGATGCTTACCGCACAAAAGAGGCTCTGCCGTGATGTATGGATGTGCGTGCACTAGAATACAGTGAGGCTGAGTCGAAAACGTGACGTGGATCTATGCTCAAGTGACCCACCCTCGCCACCCTGGAGATCCTGTTGTGCTTTCGCTTCTGCTTCGGGGGGAAGGCGATGTCTCAGCACTTCTTCTTCGTTTACATCCTTGACTACAGCTTCTTCGTGGGTCTTTGCAGGGTGTTCTTTTCTTCGTCGCCTTCTCGGGCGCCAAACTTCAGTTTCACAGCAGCCGACCCGCTGAAGGACTTGAGATGCTTACCGCACAAAAGAGGCTCTGCCGTGATGTATTATCATGCTTTGGGCATGGGCGCAGTGCCAACCGT